CGGCGATTTAACTTTTGAAGAAAAAATAAAATAACTTTTCTTGCTGATAATCCCACTGAAAGATAGCGCTTTTTCAAGAGTTGGGACACATGGTGCATGATTTTCACCATTTATTCAATCATGAAACTCTATGGTGCGTTTTCAGCAGCAAAAATTTTCTCATTTGAACATGGTAAAAAAACGTATGACAAATCATGGACAAAATTACGATTTATTTAAGGAAGGAATATTCAAGAAATCTCTGTTATAATCTTTTCCTACATGTATATTTTACAGTATTAGGTGATTTGAGGGGAATTAACTCAAGAAATACACAGCATGATCAATGATCAGCGGGCCGCTATCGTTCTGACTGGCAAAGGATGGTATGTCATCAACCCGTTTATTTTGATGTACATAAGTACAGGAGCATTTTTCTATTGGTGATGCTACTGCTCACAGTAGGGTGCTTAAGAGTAGTAAATATCCCTGAAGGGTCCCCATGGCTTAGTTTTAAATCTCCTATAATTTACGCACCGGTTATAGCCATAAAAAAGCGTTAAGATTATAAACCAGTGCTTTTAACGTGTCTTTAGAATTATTCCCGTTACTGTGTGGGAACTAGTCGATTAGAGAGGGGGGAAGAAAAAAAACGCGCTGTAGTCAGGTCCACAGGTGCTTTCCTCACCTGCATTTTGGTTGAAGGTATCTACAAAATGTGATGAAAAACAAAAACAACAAAAGCAGAAGAAAGAGTGAAGAAAAGTGTTATTGCTCTATCTAAGCAGGTTTCATGTCAGCGAAAAGTGAATATCAAAGTCCTATTGTTGCACAGCCGTCTGTTGAAATAGGGTGCCATATATTTTCTCCACTTAGTTTTGATTCATAACTCCGGTTGTCGTGATGGCATTATTTTTACAATAGGGACAGCAAAACCGTGTAGGGCCTATGATATACGAGGGGTTTTCCTAGGAAACCCTGACAAATTTAATCTAGATTGATTTTGTATTTAAAATAATCAATAATTAAAACTGCAGCTCCTTTTTCAAGCCATTCTCGACTGTTTTCAAATCAAATAGTCAATTTTCCAACTGAAAGTCACCGTAGCAAGCTTAATGTTAGTGTCAATCGTTTAAAGTGTTGTTGACACGTTAGTTATCTACCTGAAGACATAGATACTGATCAACTGGTCCTAATGTACCGCACTCTGTAATTAACCAGACTTCGTGCGTTCCTCCTACCTTGTGATCAGAGGTGTCAACCGGCTAGCCGTGGATGACACTTGAGTAGAAGAATAAAAATACCTCCCTTGATTGCAATTAAGACACTAAATGACCAATCTACCTGAGCAAAATCTTCAATCGCTTTGGCTTTTCCCTCCGAACCCCATAATTATCTGTGCGTCACCAGGAATTAATCTAGCTGTGCGATCTCGCACCTTTTCTCTCTTTTTGTACTAATTTTGTACTAATTGTAGCGTATGTCCTCAGTAAACAATAGATGGCACGCGCACGTGTCGCGTTGGTCCAGGCTTCAGGTGTGTATAAAAAGGCACGGGTTGGCGGTAAGCTACACACTTTCAGCAGCCATGCCTCTGAAGAACGCCAAAGCACGCTCTACAATTGCAGTTGCCGGGAAATCCGCAGCCACTTCCTCCAAGGGTGGACAAGGGAAAGGAACAAGTGGAGGAAAATCCAAGAAGCAGTCACAGACTGCCTCTGGGAAAAGCACCTCCGCTGCCAAGAAGCAAAATACAAAGGGGAAGAAAACCAAAGGAACTCTACCGCCCGGGAAGAAATTTGACTCCCAGCATTATGATATCATTCGAAAAACGATGAAGAGAAACCCCTGGACCAGCGCCGCAAAGCTGCAAAGCATCCTGTACAAGAAAACAGGTGAGACGAAATTTTCCTGTAGTATTTGTAATTAATATTTGTTCCCTATTATAAGGTACATTATTTCATTTGCATGGTTCATTGGAGCACTTGTAATAATTTTACATCATACCAAGTATGCAGCACTAAGTATGTTTTTTTCTTTAACATTTGTTCTGTCTTAAGTTTTAAAGTAGCCATAATGATGATATTATCAATCAAAATAGATTTATAATAAAATATACTCATTTATTTCAGGCCTTGACGTCAGTGAGTCCAGCATTAGCAAGGTGAGACATAAGCTCGGTTGCCCCCCTGCCAAACCTAGATTCATCTACGTGCCCGCTTTGGACGAGAGGAATAATCCTAACAGTCGTCTATACGAGCCCCCAGTCATGATTGCCGTTGGTGATCCAGCTCCCTACCGTCCAGATTTCCATAGCAGCAGACTTCCCGGTGGTGCAAGTTGCATGTAGGAAGTTATCATATTCCTCCAAAACAGCCCTTTTCAGGGCTACCCACTCGAAAAGAAAAGCTATACCACGTGTTATTTCTCTATTGCTAGAAAATGGTAAGCAGTTCCATAACATAAAAAATATAAAAAATAGTACTTGATATATATAAAATAAAAAAAAAAGATTTTTAAAAAAATTCCAAGAAAAAAAAACAACAACAAAAATTAACATTGTAAAATTTCGCTGGTCCTTCAGGTGTTGCCTCTGCATATTTTTGAATGGGTTTATCATAGCACAACATCCTAAATTATGCGAAGAAACTCGAGGTTGAGCTAGATTTAAGATCTTTATATACAATGGTACATGCAAATTAATATCTTACTTTTGAAAAAAATTGGGGCTATAATATAAAAGATGTGACGTCCATAAAGCTTTTAGTTGAATCCAAATACACGGTCAATCGAGGTATAATATGACGAGATGACTTGCGTGCAGTCTGCTCCAAATAATCTTCTGAATGTGGTACAAACGAAGCACAGATGTGTTACAAACACGTTTGAAGGTGATAAAGATCGTCTGTTTGGGATAGTGAAGAAATAAGAATGTGATAGAGGAGACATCACAGCATAGGCATGGTTTATCAAGCCGACTTATCACTGTGTTTTTAATAATTAATTTATCTACGATTAAGCGTGGTTTATCGCGTAAATTGTTACGGTTAAAGTCATATGTTACCATCTAACCTGGTTTGGTACGCTTTCAAGTATGAAAAATAAATTTAAAACACCACAACAATGTAAAGACGTTTGTTTCCATTCGTATATTTACAACATGAACGACATAATCATCATTGGCAACCAGAGTAGGTAAATATAGCAACGCCACCAATTGTTTTGAAGTGGCAGTCACTCCATCTAGCGTTAAACGGTGAGGTCGTATGACAGCACATCTAAAAGCCGTACGTTTCTTTACAAAACTGACCCTTTAGTAATACGGCGTCCATAGTTCAGTCTTCGACACATGCTATGTTCCTTTATAGAATTTTTTGTAATTCTATAATTATGAAGGTTCACTTTAAGTTAGAGGTCGGTGTTTTAGCCCCTGTGCTCATTCCTCTGTTAGAAAAAAGCTCTCCATATTTCCAATATGAGAAAACTATCATGTCGTTCATAATCATTCATGGCGTGTTTTAACAATCTGAATCATTTGCCTCATTCATTGAGAATGTTCGCATTCACATCGTCCTTCAGACCTTCACTGTATAAATCTCCATATAACATTTTTTTTCGTCTTTTACCAGTTTTACAGGAGTCGCGCTTCAATTTTGCTCACAGAGGTTGATAATGTCAGGGGATGTTTCTCATCTATAGGTGTCACTACCGTTATTTCCTCTCGGACAGTAGATGTCGCGGGTGTGCATTCTTGGAACACCCATAACTGTCATGGCTTGCATGTTACACGTATTTACAAATATGTCGGCAATATTTTACCGTGGACTAGACTTTGTACAGATTGCTTTTATACAATAAATTGAATAAAATAAAATTACAAATATACAATTCCCCAGTACTATACACAATACTATACAATATTAGAGATAGACGGCGCTGTACAGTTTTAACTACGTGTAGGGCATTGAACTGTCTGACTTATATCGGGGAACGTCTAAGATAAGACCAATGTCAGAGCTCCTTGATGATACTTGTCTAAACCATATAGCCGTCGGAAGATTTTGACACCCCCAGTAATTTCGCCGTAATTCTTTTTCCGTAAAAGGCGGGATAACATCACAGGGTGCTCCGAAGATTGTTGTTCGGCTTGTTCCGTCAGGTTCGGCTATTTCCGGCGTGGAGTGTAAAACGTGTATTCTTGCTTCCTGTAAAAGAAAAGTGGCATGTGTGATGCTTCGGTTTAATATATTTTTGCCTTCTCTTTTTGATGCGTATTTACCTTTTAAACCGGGCGTTCGACCGCTTGCAGAACGAGTTTTAGCCCATTCTCCCCATTGTATTATCTCCATGCGTTCACAAGCCCGATGTAACAGGGTTAAAGGGAACTAAATCATATAATAAGTTACAAATTAAAAGTTCTCTTTATTCTTTCTTCTGTATAAAAGCATGTTAACCAAGATTTTATCCCAATCTTTAAAATATATATTGAAAAAGAAAGGTAGAGAAAATTCGCACCTCGTGGACGTGATGTGTACATCGGTGTGTGTGGGGGTAGTCCACCCAGTGTTGTGTGTACTCGTTCCCGTAGGAATATTCTCCATCTTTTCCACTAGCGTATACAACCACGTTTCTATGCTCACGTGACCGCCGAAAAGCACGTGCTAACTCCCCAGCGTAGCTCTGGTCCACGATCACGTGCACTTGTCGAGCTGCACAACTGCGCAGATCAGAGAGTAGCTCTTCAATACGGTATCGTTCACTTTCTTCTGACTACAAATAAAAAAAAAGGAGGTTGTTTATGATTATATGTCCGCATTGCGTATATCATATTTTCTAAATAGGCCTATATTTATTTCGTTCCATGTTGTTATGTAAACCAAGTAAGTAAGAGACTTTTGAATACGTTAACTACAAATTGCAGTTGTTGAATCACAGGACACTGCCTCAACTCCCAGGGCACACCAAACACATTTAATATCAATGAAATTTAAACCGAGATTGAAATCACAGTCGGATATATGCTATGAGATCTTTAGAAAATCTGGTCTCTATACCAAAAAGAATCTGAATATACTCGGGTCGTTAGCTAAAACCCATTTATTTTGTGGATTGGGGGAGGGTACAGTCAGGTGACACAGATTTAAGCTCAATTCACCTGAGATCTATTCAAAATCGGACAACGACCAAACTTTAGTAATTGGTTTATAATGTTTACTGTAAGCTCACATTCCTTGAAAAGAGTTAGCCCTACTCTGGTCTAAAGTTAAATCTTTAAATTTTTAGTTAAAGAAACGGTAAAATTTCTCATATATTGTGTTAGCGTAATATATATTTACCTTTCCATCCTGGTCTATGTCCCACAGTAAGCTTGTCCCATCATTTTTAGTCGGACTGTTCATGTAGAGGACCAGGGAATCAACACAGTGAGGGTTTTCGCACAGTTTTCGCATGTGGAACCTCATGGCCAGCTTCATTGCAGCGGGAAACACCTCGTGTGGTTCGTCATCGCCAGGCACTGCAAGACAAGATCAAACCGTTGTTTCAAATTGGAAATCAATGTACTCGATTTTTTTACAGCCAAATTGGTCGCACAATGAATTGGGAAATTATTCAATTAATATAACGACAAGAAATGTGTAAACACAGCAGAAAAATCCATGAAGTTTTAAAATGTACTATGGCCGCAAACACAAACAGGATTGCACGCGCACACGAAATCACACAACTGCATGCAAGAACAAACGCACGCACTCATGTCCTCCTTTAATTAGACATCAAAAATGCAATATGGTGATCCTATGCAGGGGATCATGTGGTTGTGTAGAATTATCTGCAAATGGTGTGTGCTTTTGTTGTGAGCGAAAGACGTGGCTGTGAAAAAGAGGTCTGGCAAATGGAGCGCAGCCCGACGGCCCCCCTGCTGCCCGGGCCAGGAGAGACACATCAAAGGAAAAGCATTCCTCGCTAAAATGATTAAAGAAATTACAGGAGAGCTGTGATCTGTGTCTGAAATTGTTTGCTTATTCTAATTCCTAGCGGGGCGGTTTTGTGGGAATGAGATCCATCTTCTGTTCACTTTTTATTTTATTCCACACCTCTCACTTCCCGGCCTTTATTTTCTATTATTATTTTTTTGTCCCCTTCCCCTCCCCCCCCCCCCCCATCTCTCTCTCTCTCTCTCTCTCTCTCTCCTCTCTCTCTCTCTCTGTGTGTGTGTGTGTGTGTGNCCTACATTTTGTAATTAATGTCCTTGTCTTGTGTTTTACCATTGCTGAATGAAGTGACGGAATGTCTTTTTTTTTTTTTTCCCCCCCCCCCCCCCCCCCCCCCCAGCTTCTCTCTCTCTCTCTCTCTCTCTCTCTCTCTCTCTCTCTCTCTGTGTGTGTGTGTGTGTGTGTGTGTGTGCGTATGTGCGTGCGCCGACGTGTGTGTGTGTGTGTGAGAGAGAGAGAGAGAGAGAGAGAGAGAATTCGATTCAGCGAAGTGTGAAGCTGGCAATCTGAAATGACGGCGTGCGTATCTGTATTTTACACATGCATACAATGCATTGTGAACGCAGAGCAGCAAGTTACATGTAGCGGGTAATAATTTATCAGATCGCACCATTTCGTCGCCCCCTTCAGATTGGCGGAATTAAAACTCTTTAAGTTTTTACTTTGATGTTTGCATGGAGCCTGCGCGTCCCAACCAAAATAGCCAATGCGCCAGTAACTCTCTGACTTTCATTTCAGAGGTATTGATACCTATGACAAAATTGACGAAATTCATTAAAAGATCTCCCGAGTCCCGGACCGTAGGCTTGGGGGTATTTTCGGCATCAAAGCACCACAAAAGCGCCTTGATTACTGTTTATTTGACTTCATCTTTGAAGCTGAGAGTTTCATTCGAAATTCGAATTGTGTCCGCTATTGAAATGCGTTGAAGCGCTTGCGTTACACGACTTCTTAATTGAACCCCGCTTGCTCCCCACTTAAAGACCGTCCACCGGGCGTTGCGACGGAGGGGAAATCATAATAAGATGTGTTAAAGCGTCGCCTGTGTTAACAATGTTTCAATTTCTTCACAAGCGACCGCACTATACTAAACCAGTGTTCTTCGTTCTTGTTTGAAATTTGTCATTTGCTTCGTAAGTGGACAACTATATATCTTTTTGTTTGACAAAAGGCTGTCAATACGTGTTGGTATTATTAACACGATATAAAACATAATCTCTTGTGTATGTGGGTTAAAGTGTTATTTCATCATTTGCAATTTATTCGATTTTCAATAATATTTTAATTTATTTATATGAGGTAACACGTTATTTCTACTTCAAATGAGTGATAAATTTATTTCGATTTATTACAGAGAGGACATTTTCTTTTATTTTTCAAGAAGATCATCGTGCTTACGGACGGCTCTTGATCTCATTTTACGGTCTCAGGTCTCAGGCTCAGTTCCACAATCTTCAAGGTCTATGTCACAAATATAGTGCACATTTTGACGATGTAGCTTTACGTGATTTTTAGCTCTACCCTGCGAGTGCCCAAGTTGAGATAAATGTTTAAATATCGACACTGGTGTCGTGTGAATAGGGCAGCACGCAGTGTTGGACTCTCGTTTGTTTCATGCAGCGTTCATGTGCTTGCATTCATCGCCATTTTTTACTAACATTAAGATAATTTACAAAGTACTTCCCCTCCTTTTCTATTTCTCTGTCCCTTTCCACTCTTTCTTTTATTTCCCCCTCTCTCTTCCTTCCGATCTCCTCTCCCTCTGTCCAACCCCCTCACTCAACCATCACCCCCTCCCCCAATTTTCATCAGCAAGGTACCATTCTCCCCAACTGTCGGCATCCCTTTGATGTTCCCCCCTTAACACTTGTTATGCCTGACTTCAAAGACGACGTAGCGCTCTCGTGCAGGTAGCTTCACGTTCTAGCAGTATCAGTTAAGTAGCCTGTTAACCTGGACATTCGCAGCAAAACGAACGAGACAAATGGTTTATTTTATCGAATTGAAGTTAATCTGAAACATACTTTGTTTACTTAGATATCCTTGGGCCAAAAGCCCTGCAGAAATTCGCCAAAAGCGCCGAAACGTTCTTCAGAATTTTTTTTCTGGGGTATCATGCGCGAATCCTTGCAAAATAATTTCTTCCATAATCATTTTCTCTTTGATGAATAATCAAAGGAATCGTCGTGGAATATTTACATGCGCTCGTGCCTTGAATTTTCGCTTTGGTGTTTAGTCCAAAGGAACACAAAACAAGAACAAGAATTCCACAGGCTTATTATTGTTCACAGCAGAAACAAATTGTATTTATAAAATAGAACAAAGTACCTGTAAAAACAGCTTTAATTCGTTACTGTTGGCCTCGTTGGCAGACAGTCATTAGTGCTCCTGAGGTGCTTCGCGCCTCACTAATCAGCAATATATTTATATCCACAAAGAATATGTTGAAGACAGGTAGAAAGAAAGCCACAAATGAGTCACATTGTCTTAAAGCACGGCGGGACGGGGGGTTGTGCTAACGGATTAATTAATATGAATGTAGGTAACACGACCGGGGGGACATTACTGCACGACATGGGGATGAACGCGGAATGAGGAAATAACAATGAGATTCGGTGGCTGATGTGAACTTTCATATATCTACACGGAAAACAGTAGCTGCAAAAAGACCGGAATCCCTTTGAAGGGGGACCTCTAATATGTAGCAGATTTTTCAGATCCCTTGAACTTCTTCAGAGAGGAGAGCAATCTGTCACTGCATATCATCATTATTAATTCGCGTCTCCTTTTCTCTCCACGGCCCAGTGCCTCATTCCTAGCGTTCCATTACATTGGGACTAATTCTTCTTAACTTTGATTTCTATAATTTTGTTTGTTGTTTTGAGAAAAGGTCTTTGGAGGTTGTTGCCGAGAGGCTCGGGTACTAGTTCACGTTACTGAATCTGGAGTGAGTTCGCTGGAATTGTGAATAAGTGACTGATGGAGAGAGTGGGGGAGGTGGGGTCAAGGGTAACAATGTCATATTTCGACGAGGGCATTAATACGTTTTTTAATACTTAACCTCATTTGAATGTTTTTGAATAAATAGACAAATAAGTTTAAATTTATGTTTAATTCAAAGGAACATGCAGTGGACAAACAGTTTATAAAGATAAAACAATCATCAATCAAATAATTCAGAGATTGATGCAAATATTGACAAATTATTATTTCTAGTTTTGTAAATTATCATGGTGTAACAGGGAGATATTGTAGTTTGCAATAACCACCCGGATGTGTGATGAAACTATACATCTTATACAAATGAAATACCTTCAACTATTTTTCTGAATCCTAATTAATTAAGCTCTCTCTCTCTCTCTCTCTCTCTCTCTCTCTCTCTCGTGCAGTGGAGTCCAGGTCTTCACCACACACCATAGAACAATGCCCCCAGATAACAAACAGCAAAATATATTTTGGGAAATAATAAGAAACAACTTAAGATGATAAACAACAGGCCAACGCAGCGCTCAGAAAGAGCGGGGAATGTACTGCAAGGCGTTTCTGCAGATTAATACTAAAAAGCAAACTCTTTGACTGAGCACAAATTGTCAATCAAACGACCAAGCATCAAAGCGCCCGAAACCTGCCAATCTGTTCCCCCTTTAACCAGAGGCGATCCGAGCCATTAAGTACACGCGAAACAGTTGCACATAGTGCTCTGATCAAGACCTTAGTATGCCGTCAAACTTGACATTAACGAACCGACCCAGCGCAGTTACACCTGGGCTCTGAAGAAACGTCTTGGGACCAAGATTCGGGGCACGGTATCTAACCCTTGAAACCCTGGGGGAAGAATTCCGTAGAACGCCCCCGCCTCTCCAACAACCAGAAGTCATATGCTATAAAAAGAGTATTTTAATAACAATTTAATTTGCCAAACGGCATCAGTGTGGGTAAATAGTTCGTTTATGAGATACATGTTTTTTTTTTCTAGATTGTCACATATTGGTTTAATGTTTCAATTTAACCCACGTTTTCATGTCAGCTGATCAGTTAGAAGAAATTTCTGGTTCAAGTGAGCCCGACGCGGAATAGAGTGGATAAGCAACAAGCGGAGGTTCGTTACAAACAGAAGATCAAAGCCCACTGGTGGTAAGAGAGCCGTAATTAGAATCGTTAGTCTAACTAATCAAATCACGGTGAGTAACAGGAGAAACCTTTGATAAAGTCGACCCTTCTCTCCACGTGCTACAAGAAAACTTTGAGGGAGCCAACGCCGCTATGATCACGAGGGGCCACGAGGTTGTGCTTTCAAAAATAACAGGTTTGCAACTTAACAGAGAGGAGGGCAGGCGTCGTGACTCCAAGTCCCTCACCCTCCTCTACCCCCCTCACACACACACACACGCACGCACGCACGCACGCACGCACACACCATCTCTATAACCGCCCCTTTCCACCCCTTGTCAGTCAAAATCTTGGTGGCCCAAGAAAGTCAAGAAAGGTCTGAAATTCACAGGCATGTATTGTAATAAATATAGTAAAGTTGAGCCTCTGTGTGTTCAATGTGAATACTGCACCGCACAATCTGAACGTTATGATCATCATTTATACTGCATTCTGTGTCAAAGTATTGCTCTAAAATACGGGGAGGGAAATGTGCAATTTCAATCAAGACTGATTTAAAAGAATCAGCCAGAATAAATATGTGTCCATGTTGACTCAAATGACGTAAGATGCCTATCGCGGTACAAAAGAAACATTTACCCGACACGACACATATATTGTTATATTTTAGCAAAATGAGGTATTTGATCCCTGTGCACTATATGCACTTTGTGGATTTTAAAAAGATATCCCCTTTTTTCTGTTATATACATATATATCATGTACATATATCATCTCTGCGTGCTCTATTCTTAGATCATTGGCATTGTATCAAAATTTGCTAATTTATTTATAAAAAAATGAATAAATAATAATTTGCAATGCGTAGGTAATTTATGTATCATTTAGGCGCCTTAGAACATGTTTGAAAGGACGACTTGGGAGCTTTTTTCACTGGCCAAGGCCATGCAGTCCTATTTCTACTGATCAACTTTGTGAAAAAGTGCCAATATGATAGGGTGTCAGAAATTATCAACAGACTGATTATATGTGACGCAATCAAATCCGTATGGTGACGTCACAAAGCACAAATCGGTTACACTGGCGTTTTTAAATTGTTTACTTTGTCAAAATGGTAAGAGTGTATACTATTAACAATCTCAGTGACCAACAAATCAAGCCAAAATTTCAGAAGATCAGACATTGTAAGACACCTAATGGATATTCATTAATGGATTGATTTATTTTTTGAAGATCTAGATTTAGGCTATTTGGCTATTCAAACATTTAGGGTAGATGTTCGATCTCCATTCTATGAAAGCAAGCGTACCAACCAGACTGATCCTGCGTTAGAATAATTGTAACGCAGCGCCCATGAGCGGCTATTTTCACCGAGATGATTACATTTTCAGCTTCCCATAAATTTTGCTACTGTTTTCCTGTGATTGTTTTCCTTAAGGCCCTGTCGCACGTGCACATACAATGGCTACAGAAAGCGGCTAACCTAAGTAAACAAATAAAGTTTGTTTAAAACTTTTCACGCGTGTTAGCCCCTGTGGCTCCTGCCGCAGGTGGGAGGATTTCTGCATTTGGGATTTCCATCACTTCTCATCATTTCCTACATGTAATAGTAAAACAAGGCCCCGTATTCAGTTAGATTCAAAACAACATCAAAATTATTATTAATAGTAGTATACATGTTTGTCCTAATATAAGAATATAATCTAATTCGTTTTTCCCATCTTTAATTCCGCGTTTTTTTAATTCGTCATGCCCAAAAGTGAAAAGCGAGCCCGCGGGTCATAGACAGTGTCTGATAGACTGAAATCAAATCGTTTTCCTGGACTGACCGTACAATATGCATTCAGCAGCTTGATTGCAATTAAACGATCAATAACTTCATAAATATTTGACGCCTGTGACAGGAGCATCTAGAAGTTCTCTAACCCACAGTGTCAGAGTTGGAGCTCATTTTCACACCTGAGTGGAGACAGGAATTCCCATCTCGGCTTTCCCCCGAGTTTCTCCACAATGAAAAGGGCGCGTACAAAGCTTCAACATTAGGCCGTCAATGCACTACAATGGGAAATAGGCTGTAATGTGCCAGTAATGATGCTTACTTTCCACTCGCCTCAGCTACGCGACTCAAAGCGAACAAGAATGGGGACCCGCGTTTGAGCTCTCGTCATCAAAGGCGAGTGGCCATAGGCGCTTACTGGAGCGCGTTCCATCTGTTTTCTTCCCCCCAAAGAGCGTCCTTTTCACACATGCACAAGACCCTGAATGCATCTTAGATCGTGCAAGCATATGGCGAGAAGAGTAGAGAAAGGACAGGATCAAAAGAGGCCCAATTATGCACACAATGCTAGTGTACTCATTCTCTGTATTCTATCCTCTCCATATCAAGGACATGTGTTTGACTCTTCGCTCCTCACGTTACGGAGGCTGGCTCTTCTGAAAAACACCTTCTCTTTGAAGCTAAAAACCTTCCCTTCTCCAAGAATGCGAGCTCTTTTATCTATATTACACCCAGTGCCCCATCCCTTGTTGTACGGGTTATGTTGACATTCTTATCATTTAGCCGCCTAATATAAACAATTTTCTGTTGTAATATTTGGTGTTATTTGAGAGTGTGAAGATCTGAAGGAAAAAATGATGTTGCGGCGGCGCCATGGTATGCGACCAACCCAAGACGTTCCCATTCCTATCCGCTTGACACGATCTTGTCCCTAATTTCCATTTGTCTACAACACCTGGTTGGCAAAAGCTCAACTTATTCACCACACAAATTTTCAATTTGAAATTTTTAAAAAACAATATTTAGGCTTTCCAGATCGCCTACTTTTATTTTGCCTGTGAACGCTTTATCTACTGTTTAATGTATGGCCACTTGTTCACTCTTTTCATTCATTCATTCATTCATTCATTCATTCTTTCTTTCTTTCCTTTTTATTTTCTTCTCAGCCAGTTTTTCCACATGTACTTGATTTTAAAGAAACTCACCTTCGATTCCGTTTTCCAGGCCGTTGGCAAAGAAAATCTTGATATTGCCTCGTTTAAATCCATTATTTCGAAGCATTCCATAAAACTCTATAATGTTTTGCTTGTGTCTCATCAAGCTCCCGTGTTTGTCCCAGCCTCCAGAGAGCAAGACAGCATGGTCGCAAATCTCGAACACACGACATCTCGTCCTAACGATATCGTGCGTGGTTTCACACCGTCGTGTGTTTTCAGCGATTGGATCACAATATAATTTAGACATTTCGCTTTCGGGTCTAGTTTCGGGACAGGCTCCAAAGTCAGGGATGTTGTTCCGACAGGAAAGTAATTGCGTCCGTTTGTTGCTGCCTTCCCCGTGTTCGTAGACCAGAGGTAAAAAGTTGATCTCGCAGCGTCTGGCGAAGTTCTTACGTTTCCGTCGACTTTCTAGAGCATTCTTGCACCTTTTCTTAAGAGCGAGACTCAGACACTCGTCGTCCCCTAAAATCGAAAAAAAGTAGATCTCATCAGTGATTCAGTTGAGACAAGTATTCCTTGACCGTTACATGAAGTGGTTTCCTTTTGTTAAAAACAATCAACCCTTCCTTGGATCATAACCGTCTTTGGAGACAAAAAATGTTACAAGGACTAAAAGGACATAAAAATATTTAAATTAGGCCAGTGAGGACATTCCTGCTGTTTCTACCAATACGAAACCCCTTTGATCAATCCCATCTCAGGAACGCAACAAGTAAATAAAATACAGGGGTCACAAGGAATGAAATAAAATCATTTACTTTCAATTAATGGAAATTTTGTGGATTAAAGAAACAAATATGCTGTTAGATGTAATAGGAAGTCACTTTGATCATTCTTGTCCCTTATGTCGTGATTTAACCGTACAGACGACAATATAGGACTGATAAACAGACAGAAAAGTGTCTTTTTGACTTAAGATGTCATCGACGGAGACGGAAACAACACCGGTTAAAATGGTGAAATACAAAATGAAGAGTTTGCCAACGAGAAGACTTTAAAGGATGCAAATGTGGTATTGCTTTAAGCAATCGATTGATGCATAACACAAAAAAGATTAACAAAAATGGTGCTTAGATAATGATTTTCTTAAAAATAACGTTAGGCACTTTAAACATCATCCAATGTTTCCTTCGACTTTTGATCTTTTCCCATCTTTTCCAGTGCATTATGGACAAACTTCCAAGGCACATCATGGCAAAGAGTACACCCGACTCTCAGAATAGGCTTATTACCAGTAACCAGATTAACATCAATAAGTTAAACTCCTCTTTGACGCTAATCGCTCTCAATTTGTGCTTGTTACGTGCAGTGCTAACATTGATTATCATGAAAGAAAGTGTATTTTGGTATGTTTTTGAACTGTTAATTTGATTTGTCGCAAGAGAGACAGAGAAAGAGAGATGGAAAAAGAAAAAGAAGGCATCTATTTTCATTGTCGATACTTTGGTGTCGGACGATGAAATAAAATAAAACATACACTCCTCTGTTCCATAAATCTCTCGTTATAGCTTGACACATATTTCGTCAGACATGTTCACATCCTGAACTCACCGGGCCCGCTGCGCCGCCGGTGAGAGAGTAATTTCTACAGTAACTTGAATGGATTATCAAATCCTATGACGGCGAACTCTTCACGGACAAGAACGTACTTTAATAAACCACTCGTCGTAATCGGAACTATTTTCGGGTGGCGGTGTTTTTGAACTTGACAAATGAGCATTAATGAAAACGCATCTAAAGCATACCAGCTTGTGAAAAAATCGTTTTCCGGTTCACACTTATTTTAGGAACATAAGCCATGGTGTCGTCGACAAACGAGCCGTGAAACATTTGAGGAAGTGTGGAAATCATGTGCCCCATCTTTCAAGCGAAATTTTAAGAAGAAAAATCTAAAGATAGACCAAAGTAATTGTCTGACACGTGCAAATGAGTGACAGAGATATTTTTGCAACAATCATGCCTAAAACCAAAACATTAATTCATGTCGAACGTTTTCATGCTTAATCATTGAAAGATGTGTAAAAAGTGGGTGAAAATTTTGAGCTCTGCTGTAGACTAGTAACCCAACCCCTCTGATGAGTTTAACAGCTCTCAACAGTTGTTTAAACAGTTTAAAACACAACATTTATCCCACAGAGGAGAGCCTGCCACATTACGGCTTCATGACATATGCCTAAGGTTAACCTTTGTCTGAGGGGAGAGAACGAGAGAGAGAGAGAGAGAGATGAAGGAAGAGGGAGAGAGTGGCGGAGGTGGTGAAAGAGAGAATCTTTTTTTGTATGAAATGGGTTAACCTCTCTATCACAGAAAATGATTAGGTAGTTATATTATTATTATTTTATTATTATTATTATTATTATACAATGTATGTAACTAGACTCCCGTGCTAGTACTCCAGTAAAACCACTAAACTGCTCGCTTGAACGCAAAGTAAACCCGAACTCATGATATTATGTGTCAACAGGCTCTTGTCGTAAACCGGAAGACTCATAAGAGCGTAGAAATCAAAAATCATCTTCAAAGACCTCTTGGGAGATGTGGATATAACCATGAGGGTGACACGCTCGAGAGTCACTCCTATTAAGTGATGAAAGTTTAGAAATCACCCACTTGAAGGCGTGCCGCGCGGAGGTGTGTGTGAGGGGAGATTAAGGCACAGCGTCCTCGAATTCTCAAGTGGGTTTAATCCGCCGGTTGAGAGGGCGGAGTGGGGTGTTCGGTAGCGGGGAAAGTGCACGGTCCACTGGGCTATACATACACACCGGGAGAGCTGGGGAACGCTTCTGGCTTTGTCAATGTTTGATTTTAATTTAATTAAGTAAAATTCATTTTTTATCCTGTTTTTTTTCTCAACTGGATGACTTATCCGTATAAGGATTTTTTTTTTTTTTTGGGGGGGGGGTCAAATATAGTGTGTCTGTGTGTAGGCCTATGTATGACTGTGTGTTTGAGAGAGAGAGATGACAAAAAAGTCTGACTTTCTCAGGTATCAAATCATATTTGATCTCGTAAATACAGGTGTACGGGATCGAATGCAAGTGAAAGGAATCCCCAAAACCCACATCCCAAAATACTGCGGAAATCCGCCGGCTTGCTTTCTCAACGTCGTGTTCCGCAGGTGTGAAGGAAACGAAATTAATTCATGCTTGAAAAAAAAAATAAAACAGAAAAAAAAAACTGAGTGAAAAGAGAGCGCCCCGGTGTGTGCAGTGAAACCTTACGCCTTTGATGTTTGCTAGCTTAGATAATCGCAGCGATTTATTTTTTGTGGAAAGAAAATACCGGTCTAATCAACAGTGATTTGGACGACAATTCGTAACAGGTATGAGGTGTCTTAGTCTGCCTCTCACTGTGACTCATGCTTTTTAAACAAATAGAATAACAGTTACTGGGGAAGAATCCGTTAAGACGCGTTGAGAAATTGCTATCACTATCGCTTAATGACCCTCTCGCTTAATAAGGATAATATTTTGATATTGACCGAGTTGGGGCGTAGGAACCTGCACATAGTTTGAAGTTGAATAGAATTTTTAGTAAGCTCTAATAATCTTTTCTAAACCAGCCAATTTGTCACTGGGGTTGGGTTTCTGTCGGTTTGAGCTCTATTGAAAAAAGGGCGAGTCTCTAGTCAAAGAAGAGCGGGACGCCCTTGTGAAACGTTATTTACTATGAGTTCCTGAGTCAATACTACTGTTGACAATTTGGTGAAGAAATTAGAAGGTAGTGCCTTTGATCGAACAACCAAAGTCCTGTGTTTGTGTGTGTGTAAGCGAGAGTGAGCTTACTGTCTCAGTCTGTGAGGAGTTCAGTTTTCCTGCGATCTCATGATCGCCGCGAGTAGGAGTGAACACACATAGGAACACCGAAATGAAAAACTGCAAAGAAAAGATCAAAAGAACGCTCCTTTTGAAGTGTATAAGAAATTAGGCACATCAAAACCAGCCCAATTAGCTTTTTTATTACCTGTTACGTTATCTCAACGGCCGGCAGTGTCCATGACCTCGTCTTACTTCTATAAATTAAAATTAAACTGAACTTCTTTCAGTCCTAAGGCAATCAGACGATAAAATCGGGCAGCGTTTTCCCGCCGGGTTGAATGCTGTTAATTTGTCGTCTGCCCAGCTTAACAAGTCGTCACGTGCTCATCTGATTACAATCTCTCTCTTTCATACTCAAAAGCCACCGCAAATGAAGGTTTACCGTCCGAAATGGCCGTGACACAGTGTTTAAAGTTTGATGGTTTTAGAAGAGAGGTCAAAACGCATAAAGCACAAAGTCGGGCTGTTTGGAGATTAAAAGGGGGTCCCGCAGCGCCCAATTGACCGTGTAATGATGGGCAGGGAAAGGGGGACGTAATCTCGTGGTTTGGGAGGGATGATGACTGGTGAAATATTGTGATGGAAGGATAATTGCGGCGACCGGTCGAAAACCCATCTCCAAATAATTTTAGTCAGTTTCGTGGGGTTTAAGCAACCGTGATGGCGGCTTATTTCTTGGGCTATTAACACCATATGTATGACCATTACCAGATCTTGTGAATGGAATTTAGTGAACTCTTTATTTCAAAATTCAATATGGGTATAGCTAAAAAGTCAAAGATTTAGCGTCTCTTTCCCAACTGTTGGGTTTCAAACGAAGTCGAAGCAAAGCCATATCACTTCGGCTGAGTGCATTTATTCGAGAAGCTTTAACGTCTAGTATCACTCTAAATAACGGTTTAATTTGTAGGTTTTAGCAACGAGTTGTTTACGAAAAAACTCAATCTTCGTTCTTTCTCATGGAGCCTAAACGTACTTCAAATCACTCGTTCTTGTAAATCTGGCAAGCGGCGTATTGAAAAGTAATTAGGTTTCCTGGGTCCCCTATTATTTCACAGATAAGATACGGCGCGCAAGCAGAGCTCTTGTAGCACGGGATTAAATTTTATCAAAGAAATAACTGTTTAGGGGTAACGGCCAAGTGGTAATAGTCCGCTTATGTCTTTATGAAAAGGTACACTAATTTATTGGTGATTTGGGGGGTTAAAGCACTCTGGAACTGACTTTTCTTAGGACGAAATAGGCTTCGACATTGCGGACTCTTTAGCAAATAGCTTGTGGCACTGAATGAGTTGAAATGTAAGCGGGTTTACGCATGAATAAAACCAAAATAGTTTTATGTACCGCTAGTTTAAATTTTATTTGCAACATTAAGAAGAAAATATTGTCATTTTTAAAAGTCATTTCGCAACGCACGCGTGGACAGAAAAGAGTGTTTTTTCTAAAACCCTGGGGAACGCTGAGAAGCCTTTCAAGACTACACGGGATCGTATGTGCACGCTGCTGGCATGGCACAGTTCGCCACCTTAAGCATTTGCAGGTAGCGTTCGCTGGGATGAAAAGCGTTCAGGTGCTTTGAAGTTGCAATAAAACCATCACAAGCAAGCACCGTATCTCCTTTGTATCCGACTATTCTCCTCTTCCTTGCGGCATCCAGCCGGCGTGTAGGACAGAAAAAAGGAGTAAAAAGAACCATGTTTTCCAGAAAATTTAACATATTAATTCGCCTGTCGACAAGAGGAGTTGAAGGCCCCGTGTACAACGCGGTCACGCTACATGTGCGCCGCCGGGGACAAAAGGAAGGGGGGATCGGCGGCTTATTTGACACACTCGATACACGAAGGCTCAATGGTTTTGACAAGTACAGGGACACTCGAGTGTACACAGCGGCAAGTATCACAGGGCAGTGAGGAACAAGAGGTTGTCTTCTGTCTCATATAATGCCATTATTTGATCGGGGTGATTGGACTGAGATACACTCCATGATCAAGAGTACATCACCACACCATCTTCTGGTTAGAAATTTTTGGAGTGCGAAGACATGTATGAAAACGATTTTAGTCTAGATTCTATGTCCTTGGCATGTGTGCTTATATCAAATCTTTTATGTGACTCATCGCCCGCATGCGTAAAGACACTGGAAACTCACATACATGACACATATACGAGTTATCTGTTTGTGTTGTTTATTTATTTATATAACGGTGCAGTTAGTAACCAAAAGTTATGATTGTACAGGTGAATATCTGCCAAGCGATCTGAATCTGTATGAGACTCTTTTAATACCTGTATAAAAAGAACATGTAGAAACAACACATGTCAAATACGACCTCGCGCCACTGTTGACTTTTTTCTTCAAAAATAAGATAACAGACAAAACCGCCACACGGAGAGACACGGTGCTAATAATCATAAAACGAGACAGCCTGCAATTCTGATAATTAGAATCACACTTTAATGCCGTTTCGTATTTTAATTTCAGACATTCCCCTATTTATTCATTCGCGTCAAACAGAAGACGCGGGCACATCAAAGGAATGGCCCTCTTCTATGCTATCTTTCCACACAGGTGCTATACAATGTACACCTCTCACGGGGATGTAACATTCTATAAATCCCGACCATTTTATCTCCGTCACCCATGTTTTCTCTCCATGTTCTCACAACTCGGCACTCGGGCCGCCAGGAGACTGGGCAGAGTTTCCCTGACCAACTCCTACTCTGAAACGCCAAGGTGTGATATTTAATGGGCCGCAGATCCTTCAATACAATTTGCTTGCGTTTAACTAGGTAACAACACGGCACGTTGAACGCGTTAACATGACTACTCCGATTCCTTGGGTAGTCCTGCTTTCATTACAACACACTAACAAGGGAAGAGAATGAAAATACTACACTTATATTATATACCAACAAATGAGAATAGAAACGCCGAATCAATATTTGAGGCCTTCGGCAGGGTGCCGATTAGGAGTGCGCCGTAATTGGTTGTCGGTCCCTTTGATGTTTAGTTAAAAGTGACCTATTAACAGCCCGTATTTACCAGCAATGAGCGCGGACCACAATGACAGCGTTGACGTTGATGGTCAAGACAACACCATGGGGTATCACTGTGGTCGTAGTCGCTCCTGTCCAAACTTGGGGAAAAGCCCCTAAGCTCCCATATCCATTGAGCATATTATAAATCCTTTTCCGATGCCTTCTACGATGCCCCCCTTTCTCTCTCTCTCACCTATCGATCTGGTCAAAGATATATTTATATAGACATATATACACGAGAGGATGGACACAAGCACTACACTACGTGAGGGACTCGTTGAGCTTATCACAGTGGTTGGTAAATGCTACGGCTATCGTTTTTCTTCTTACTGTCCCTTGCTGCGAGAGAGAGAGAGAGAGAGAGAGAGAGAGAGAGAGCTGGGGAGGGAGAAAGGCCACTCCCTCGCTTTTTTAAAGGTTTGGATGACTGTCAGAGCCATTGGATAAGTGTGTATCTTACAGAGAGAGAGAGAGAGAGAGAGAGAGAGAGAGAGAGAGAGAAGGACGAATCTCCAGCGTGCTTCATCATCTATAGATATAAAGATGCGCGAACTATCGGGACTGTCGGTCAGACGCCCAAAACAACAACTGCGAAAAAGCGCTTGATATCAAAATCAGAATCGAGGTTCGTTGCCCGTGTGTGATCAGTATGAGCCCCTTTCATCTCTCCCCCCCCCCTTCCAGCTGCGACCCGGTGATTACGACACAAGGCATCAAAGCAAATCGTTGATTTAAGGCACAAATGAGACTCATTCCGCGACTCCGAGTCCTTACTCCCCCTCCCCGTGCTTGGTGTTCTGACTATTGTTGTGTTCAAGCTTAGAGGCCTCTTTCCTTTGATCTTTACCGCCTGAGCTTCGTTCGCTTAACCTGGCATTGTTACCTGTACGCTGAAGTGTACCGAGATGGTCGGTTTCTATCAACACCCCTTTCCACATAGCTTTTTTTCTAGAGGGAAACCGAAAACATGCTAATTCTGTTAAGTATAACGGAGTTAACATTGCTCTGTCGCAAAAACACCATTTGCATCCAGGGATTTAGAAATGAAAGAGAAATACGTCAGTCATTGTTGATCTCAAAATCATCAACATAAAACCCAACAGCGAAATACGCACAAACGTTTATAAAAAAACTTGCTTGTGTTCATTCTCCACTACAGCGTAGTATGCACAGTTGTAACACACACGTACAAGCATTTTGAGTAGTTTAACACACAGCCCGGGGACATCTGGAGAAATTGTTACAACTGTGTGAATTTGTGAAGAAGTAATTTAGAATAGGGGGAACCAGGATTTATACACGGAATAATAACAACACCTTGTAAGCACTTGAGCGCTTATACAGTACTAGGAGATTTACCAGGGACTGAGTCTACTTTGCAGAAATTATGAGAGAGAATGTAGAACTAAAATTAAAATTTATCTCAAAGTTTGCTTCAGTACTTGGAAAATGCATTACCTACGAGGAGGAGGAGGGGGGGGGGCGTATATAGGCAGGGTGAAGGGATGTTCAGCTTTAAGAGTTTAATATATAACCGAAAGATTTCCAATCTGTAATCTCGGTCGATGCAGCCAGATTACATGACCGAGGAGCAGGCGCGTGCATTGCACGTCTCGCGTCAGCGGTGACTCGCCTCGCGCTTCCTTCACGTTCCGCAAGCCCATCATGCGACCAGGCCATTACAGAGTAGTCCGCCAGCGTCATCGACCGCTGCCCTGCGACATTGTTAACAAGACATCCTACACGACGCTGGAATGTGGCGTAGTGTCAGTTTCAAAAAGGAAAATAGTTCACCGCTGTTATAAATATTCGTGTAAACAATAATCTGTTTTGAAAATAATAACGCATTCCAGACTTGGTATCATGAAATACCCCGCAAACGTGTCTATTACATGTGCTGCGCTATACGTAAATTTTTCTCCACAGCGTTTTGCCTAGTTTTCCTTCTGGTGGGAAGGTATTGCCTTGTGATTTTTACAGCTGTTTTAATCATTAGATTAATCAGATAATGTTCACTCATCTCAAATTAAAACAAATCTCCAAAACGAGTTTTCAAATTTCACAACAGCTACGCAGGCCATACAAGGTAAGTTGTCCAGTGTTGCTAAAAGAGAAATCGAGAACTTCACGATTCACTAATATCGGAGCCTTATTCTAAATCCTATCCTGGGGTTATTGCTGTCGTGTTACTGTGTCAACTCAACCGTTCCGTAATCCCCCATGTCATTAACTAAAACACGCCGCAAAAGAAAATAAACAAAGTAGCACCCTAATACATTATTGGGCCTATTTTGTCGCTGTATCAACAAAACAAACCACGTACGACTGCTATTCATTTACGTGTGGCTTGGAATGAGAAAAGAGGACTGAAAAATTGAAGTTGCGAGTAGAAATCTCAGGGCGGTAGGTGACATTGTCACCTCGACTTCATATAAATGACATTTATATTTTAAGAAACCCATAAATGACAAAGCACTGTAGCTAGAAGGGCTCGAACAGATACTTTTTGTTACTACTCAGGCTCAAATGTGGCATATAAAAACATCTTATCAATCTATGGAAAAAGTAATAAATCGGACAAAGAATTTTAAATAAACCCGTCAAACTTACCGATATATTGGCCACCCTTCAGCTCACACATTGATCTGGATAATCCGAAGTCGATATAAAACACAACAACAAGATGACCGAAGTTGGCCCGGGGGTAGGGGTCCAAGGTCAACACCGCATCGTGGGTGCCTGATCGTGACAGACCCCCATCCGGTAGAATTGAGGACAGCCGCCCGGATGGCACCGGATCTGCCAGGTAAATATTGAGTTCTGACTTCTTAAGTCTCACTAGCTTTTCACATTCTCTCTCCGTAGTGAAAAAGACATCCTCACACGTTAAGTTTGTCACATAGTTATACGCGGCGTTGGCCCACCGTATTTGTTTCTCCGAGGCAGGGAGCATTGTTGTTGTTACTGTTGTAATGTTGTATGCCTCCTGTTGTTGTTGTTGTTGTTGTTGTCGCACAAGCAGCGGCTGCTGGTGCAAACTTTGATGTTGTTGTTGTTGTTGTTGCTGGTGTTGCACCGCTGTACCGTTACTGTCACTGTCAATCCTTCGATTACTGTTACTTCTCCCGTCACCGTTACTGTTTGCCGTGTTAAAATGTACATGGTGTCTTCCCCGGTGATTGTCATGAAGGGCAAGACTTTCGGCACGGTAAAACTGACTCGTCGTTAGCAACAGTAAAATCCCACATAACAGTTTAGCCGACATCATCAACATCAACGCCCCGGCGTGTGAGGACGGTCTCGCGTCGGCCATGGCTCGGTGTATCAGCTTGAGTCGCAGTTTAAGTCCACCCAATGCGACGCTGCCTATCTCCGTGCCTTTACTACCGCAGTCTTTAAGTTTTAGCAGCACTTTGTTGCCTGTCGTTGGTTCACAGTTAACTAGCCCCGACCGTGCTCTTTCTAGACTTGTCCCTGTATGGAATGAAAAGAAATAAATGAGAACCGAGCTAGATATAATGTTGTTCTCCGACAGCTAAGTACAGCACTGCGGACTCATGGCAAGCAATCACGTTTCGCATAGCAAGGATTTGTATTTAAATGGCGCGGTGTGAGGAGATCAAAGGACGCCGCCGGCCCTAGGACATAAGCATTGGAGCTCCAACAACGTATCCCGGTACGAGTCCATGCTTCCTATTTATTGGGTAAAAAATACACAGGTTCTTTAAGCGTCCTCCTGATTGGCTCAGCCGGTGATTGGGGCCTGCATTAGATGGTGCCACGGACTTGTAATTACGGGTAACGTTCTACACCTCTTCTGACCGCTGCCAACAGCACCGGTGCCGTCTTTGAAGATAGGCGCTCTGCCGAGATAGATATACCCTTTAATATAATCGGGCCAAGCTGTGCTTTTGCCTTGATTCCGATTGAAAGGCTGCCTTATAACGCGATTACATTCGACACATTCGGCGAGAGTTTTCATTGATTACGCGATTCTACAGGTGTGAATGATGGGTGACGTCATCAGTTTCAGCAGACGACAGGGGACTTGTGATGTGCTGTTGTTCAATCAGTGTTCAGTAAAAGGGTGGGTTTGGAAACGAAATAGATTATGGAGCAACATAGGCCAGGTGATATTATCAAATTTCTTCCATAATCTTAGGCGGAAGATGAATGAAATTTACCTTTAGAGGTCGTCTGCCTCCAACTTCCGACCGCTGGTAAAGAGGTGTCGCGGTTAACGTGACGGCTGTCAGATGAGAGATTACGGGCTCAGATAGCGAGCAATTTAGGCCTATTAACAAATTGCTTCAATTGTTAAATAAAAAGTGCCTTTGAAACGGCTGTGGTTTGAAGCGCCGCCGTCTCGTGCGGGACGTTTAGTCGTGTCTCGCAGGACAAATCCACCAGTCTCTTATTATTGTTAGTTGAACAAACGCCCCCTCAGAAAGGCAAAATTATATTCCAATATTTCCCCCTTCCGTTTTCTTACGGACGCTGACTCTCTCCCTATTTTTCAGCATACAGCGGCTCTGTGACAACCCACACACGGCAGGCTGTTTCAACTCGGTGTGTGGGGCGATAAAAACAATGCTAGAAATTTACATTGTACGTGGAAATATTAATTTATGTGGTATGTGAAAGGCTGGCTGGTGAACCACTTTACTGCTCAACTTCCAACCCCGTGTCTTCACAGAGAAGTCGAGCCGCGGCGCCCATATGTCATAGTCGGGCAAACATCTGCGAGCTGTATACCGTTTTGTCATAAAAAACCGCGAACACATCTTCAATATGGTCGTTAAATTAAAATTTATAATTGCGCAATTATTAAGTGGGGAAACGATTAAGATTAATGAAGGAAAAAGTGACTTTGTAACCGCGTCAAATTGTTATTTGCGAACGCTCTACCGAACCAGCATTTTGATAGCGGCTTGAGGTAAACAAATTTAGTCTTCAATAGAAAACGAATGAATAAATGAATAATTTCTTTAAAAGAAGACAGGGAAGACATGAATAAAAGATCAACAATGGAACTGTCAGAAAAGGGTATTCATGATTTAGAACGTAGTTAATAATTAAATTATTTTGACGATCTTCAGCTATGCTGTCTCTTGGAAAATAAAAAGCATATTTGACAAAAATATAAGGCAAGTCTCTCTCACTTGTATTTCTCCTTTACAAAACTATGTGTTTGTCAATAATGCACTTGATAAAGGTTCATATCCAGTGCGTTTCCGCGTTTTCAACCTAAGACAGTCCCACAAAAAGATAATAATCCATCCTCCGCTGCAAAAGAACCGCCAAACTCGAGTCTGATTCTGTCGGAAATTTCTGCAAAATTTCTTAGAAACCGCCGTCTGGCACCTCCGAGTGCCTTCCATGTTCAGGTAGCGGGGGGGATTATGGATTACTCTGCAGTTGACTGTTGGCGTTTTTGTTTTGTTGTAGCAGTTTGGCGAGAGTTAATCGCTAAATAGCGTGAATTTACAAATTTCGAGTGGAATTACCTAATCATCATCAATTAGACCAAACCTTTACCGCCTTCATTTAAACGCAGCTGATAAAGCATTAGTGTTAAAAACGCGTCTCTGAACTCGCGACACGCCAAACAGTCAGACCACTTAAAGTCAAATGAAACACCCAAGTAGGTGTGAAAAGAATTGTTTTACCTTAAGACAGGCCAGAGTCGGTCCTTTTGAAGTTTTCTTTTCAGCAACCGGAAACTGTATGAGTGTGAAGGACTTGATAGTCAGTAAAGAGTGATTTTTTCGCGATTCATCTCGAACGCCTTGGAAACGGGGTAGCACGCGCCTGATACACTCTGCAGCCGCGGAATTGTCTTGATCCTTTGATCGTCTGCTTTCTTTATTGAAATGAAAAACCTCTCCACTTTAGTGAAGAAGGGTTGGAAGGGGTCAAGGAAGTGCAATGGTGTGATTGAAAAGAGGATTATACTGTTAAACCCAGGTGTTTCTAGGTATTTTGTCTTGTAGCTGTAGCGTGACCGCGAAGGACAACGCCGACGCAACAGTCCGCTTCTATTTGTCACCGCTATGTGAAGTGTTTCGCACTTCTGGCTTAAAGCGAGCTGCGTACAAATCCCTGGTGTATAGTTGGTGAGGACTCTCCTACGAGCCCGGTTCGAAAATAATAAGGATTTATTTTGCAGATACGATTTCGTTTCAAATTCGCATATGCACGCACTTTTAGATCGAAATTTACCGCGTACATATTTCAGTTTCCACTATTTTTATCCCATTTAATCTTGTTTGCTTGCTTTTTTCAAACACCAGGCTTACTATTGCGCAAACCTCCCTGATTCGAGGACAGGAATGCGGTTTAAATAAGAATTAAGCATCGACTAAACAGCGCAACCACCCTTCCCCCCCCCCAAAAAAAAAAAAAAAAAAAAAAAAACTTTCAGCAATTTAAGGCCAAATTCTATTTTCCAGTTAATTTCATGAGATGAAAGGCGAATTTTATTGAAGAAGACGAATTACCTACCTAAAAAAGGGAAAATGTGATTTAGTTTTAGCTTTTAGACCAAAGGGTCTAGTCTACTTTGTCCATGGATATATTAGTGGTAGTCAAACGAAAAACAAATTGGCCCTTTAAATAATAATGATAAAAGAATGAGTAATGCTATCGCTACTTGCTTTATTTTATGGAACTATGCAGCATTCCTTTTGGATTACAGTAGTTCAATTTTTGTCAAAAGATTCATGACTGTGTCCAACTTTTTACTCGGGTATGATTGTAAAGTTCGGTCTTGGATGGAATTTTGAAATTGATGAAAATTTGCACTGACACAGAATGCAATGTAGCTGTATCTACAAAGTACAACTACCTATCCTATATTAGCAGCAACTAGCTGTTAGAATTCTAATTTGTAATTTCTCTAACCTTCTAAAGTCTTCTAAAGTTGTCACCGTTAGAATATAGAGAACCAGGTTCACCCTGAACTGAACCAAATTTGGCATCGAGTAAATGGCGCACTGAGCTTGTAAAACTTCCGGAAAATAGAAAAAGATTGATGGACATTGGTTAATTGACTAATGATAATCCGGTTTGCTTCAACACATACGAGTGTTTGAGGGGGTTTGTGGACGGGTTTCACAAGCCGCGAGATATTCTAAGACTGAATCACTTTCCTGCCATTTAGGGAAAACAACTTGTTATTTCGTCACATATTACCGCTGACAGGATAACGACTCCATTAATATTAATCTACACCAGTTGCTGTGGGGTGAAATATCTTTTAAAATTGGCATGGTTATCATAGTTATTTCACCAGCTAAGTGTCTTACCGGGAGACGCGTGGGCGTATTCATACAAATGATTTGTCATTTTTCTTCATGACGTGCAATTTCTCTGCAATTATCCCCGTGCTTCGGATAAATAAAAAAAGTATCGAAAAAGCAAGGATTACTCAGTGAAATGCAGTATTTCCGAGTAGATCTTTAAAACAGTTTTACCTGTTATAAGAGGTAGACAGTCTGCGTCGTGGGATTCTTTAATGACCGTTGTTAAATAAAATATCATAGAAAGCCACACCTTTACAAATCCATCCATTGTGTTTTCTATTCATTAAAATTCTGTGAATTTAGCCAACGATCAGAGACGTCTGCAGCGGAAGTGGAAAAATAGTTCTCTGCGTGTCGTGGGTGTTGTAAAAAGCCATTTAGCGCTATGTCAGGAACTCTTTAGTAATTATGGGCGTCTAAAGAGAATCGTTTATTAGAAATCGAAGAAAAAAAGGGAGCGACGAAGATACTGATTGTCGAGACAGGTGAAAACCGCTTCCTAATGATTTGCAAAAAATAGAAACGCCCGGTGTTTGTTGCGATCCGTTGCCATGCTCTTTTTATAAAAGATTCTACTTCAACATCGATCATATTTTTTTCACTAGTTTTGAGTCATAATTTGTTATTACTCGTGTTAAACTAAAAAGCATTAGCCCTCCCATGGATTTGTGTGGGACTGCACAGGGTCCAGGCGAGATCTTCAAAGATTGCGGTTTTCCCTGTTGGTCGAGTTCCATGCTTTATTCTAGCCAGAACAAAACAGTCCCAGTCACCAGCAGTTAATTAGAATGCAATATCAATTGGATATCAGTTATAATTTCATCAATCATTAATATAATTATCAGATTATCGAATACCAATTGCACAATATTTACTGGGGTTACTTAATTAACTTAATTATACATCGATTTAACATCTCGGTACAGTAATCATAGGAGAAAGAAATCTGAGCCCAATCGTTTTCTAAGACTGTTTATGATGCTTTTATTATTTTGTTCTTCAAAGAACGTCAGTTTAACATCAATCGTTATTTACTAGAATGTTTTTGCAATACGGAAATGAAAGGCATGGGGGTTAAGGTCCGTAAGTTAGACGCATGTTTACACATTATTTTTGTAGGTAAAAATATCGACTGGAAAATATAGTCGCTAATTTGAAATGTCGATATTG